TCTTTCATCAGGAAAAAAAAATGTGTTTCTACCTTATTCCGTTCTTCTTCGACTTGCGTCTCACCGGCGCCATTTTTCCCATAGCGAACCATTGCGTTTGTTTTTATTTGCCTACAATCTATGTTATTCTCCCATCAAAAGTTGCCCAGCTACCTGGAGGGTAAATTTGTTACTACATACTCTGTCTGGAAGCCGATATTTACGGACAAGCTTTAGCAGATCGTCCCCCAGCCACTCTCGTTGAAAAACATAAAAGACGTCTATAGACGTCTTTGGCAGCCAATGAGTTAATCAAAGACACAACATTCTGCAGAAATCTTTAGAACACAATGCGATCTACAGTCAGAGACCAGAGGGAAGAAAACCGGTCTTCCGTCATCCTCCGAAGGGCTGCGAGGGAACAAAGATGTTGCACTCCGTGAGCCAAAAACATCAAAGGGTGGGAAAACTTCAAAGTGGGACAAATAGGTTCTGTGTTATGCGGCTGAGGTCCGGTTATCAGAGGGAGGGATGGAGCTGTTGTAGAGGAGATCTTCAGTCTCACAAAAAGAAGCAAAAGTGGCCAAAATAATCACCCATCCCCTCATCTAGGGTTTGCTCAAGGTTTGGCATTAACCATCTTACCTCTGTAACAAACATACATCTTAAAGGAGTCATATTATACCCTATTTCAACAAGTTAAGCTAGTCCCCTGGTGTCCTGATGTAATGCCTGTGACAAGCTTTGGTCAAAATCCCATAAGGATGAAGCCCATTAGCAGTTCAGTCCCCCTGCCTAACCCTAACCCTAACCCTAACCCTAACCCTAACCCAAAACAGCCCCGTTCAGAGCGCTCGCTTTGGAGTGCCTGTCTCTTTAAATGCAAATGAGACACAGGCAATCCACCCACTTCTTCAGGGAGGTGTGCCCACGTCGGCACGCTAACGCTACCATGCTAACGCTACCATGCTAACGCTACCATGCTAACGCTACCATGCTAACGCGACCATGCTAACGCGACCATGGTCAGAGACACAGAAGGCAAACCAGAACCAGTCAGTCTCATACCGAGTGGGGGGGTCCAGAACCAGGAAGC